AGTCTGAAATTGAAGTGTGAAGATGCTTCAGCAACCCCTTCATATTTTTCCATTGCTTTTATTGTGCTTCTACTGTGCATGTGTGTAACCTGTGGGGTATGCATGTGATGACAATGTATGCCGATGACACGGTCAGATTTTGTCCATGCGTGTAACGTACACCTGCATGCTATCGTTGAAAAGGATCTGCCACTTAGGATCTTCGGACGAGCATCAGGTCAGCTTGGTTTTGTGTGGGCTGTACCAGATGCTGTTCACTTCTCTATCTGTTGGATATGTGACTTTCTGCAAGTTTCTAGTGTATGGTGGCCACTTCTTTGCTCGTCTTTGTATGACATTACAATAATTCTGTATTCACTGCTTCCATGGTGTGGTCTGCAAACTGCAATCCTTAGGCAAATATCATCACGGTTTGCAATGTTGTACTTTGGCTGCTAGCTTACCTACACATTGTAGTTGAATTATTTTTGTTTCACAACTGACTTCCTGAAGTATGGTGGCCACTGCTTTGCATGGCATTATACAATGTTCATCAAGAATTTCCTGTTTGGGTCGTGTGTGTGTGTATGTATGTGTGTGCGTGCCCATGTGTGTGTGTGCCATGTGCATGTGCGTGTTTGTCACAAGGTGTCTGTGTGCGGGGTAGCGAGGTGGGGAGGGCTGGAATGTATCAGTGTGCTACTGCAGTTGCATGGCTACATACAGTGCATCGCGCGCGTGCTCACCATGTTTATCTTCGGAGCTGGGCTAGGGTGGGGGAGGGAACAGAAAAAGAACTGAAATTACCCATATAAAAACCGCTCTGTGAGCGGTTCTGAAAAACCTCTACTGGTGCAGCCCCGTCGTAAAAGTAAGAAATTAGAACTGGCGCATTGTCCTCCCAAATGTGAACTGATCCACCTAAATCGCGATTGACGGGACCCGAACGCACCAGTAGCACGAGGTCGGGAGGGCACAGGATCACAGCCGGCGTCGGCGCTGATCAAGTTACCATACAACACTTAGATCTACCCCGAAGCCCACCTTTGCCGCTTTGGCTTTGGCTATGGACCAGCGTCCCCAGCTGCATCCACAGGTAGGAACCTCGTGCTACTGGTGCGTTCGGGTCCCGTCAATCGCGATTTAGGTGGATCAGTTCACATTTGGGAGGACAATGCGCCAGTTCTAATTTCTTACTTTTACGACGGGGCTGCACCAGTAGAGGTTTTTCAGAACCGCTCACAGAGCGGTTTTTATATGGGTAATAAGTTATATACGTCTTTGCACATGCACCGTGCGCTAGTGCAAGCTCTGCTGTCAGTGTAGACTCTACTAGTGTGTCAGTGTTGAAGTAACAGTAGATTGGAAAGGCTTTCTGTCTAAAGCCTTTCCATACTGGTGCTCGATGTTTTCAGTTTGGGGACACCAAAATGAGTGTACCGCTAAAGACACGTAGTCGACACGTTGTTGACACGTTGTTGACACTTTGTTGACACGTGACCCAATTACCGGCCTACCAAGTGCCTTTGGCGACCGCTAACAGCAACTGTGGAACAGTGCAGTGCCCTTTTTTGGAGCAACGTACGAGTAGTGCCCATGGATTATGACCCCGCGACCCCAATCTACGTGGCGGTCCGCAATTCGCTACTTCATACTGACTGGCGTCCGGCATCGTCCCGAATTTGGCCACAATCTGCTCTCGGGACCCCTATAGGGCTCCCTGACCTGCTCCATCTCCGCCATAGTCAATGTACTGCGCATCCACCCAGGCCAGGACTGCACTTACTTACGGGAAGGAGTATTTGCAAGATGGAACCTGGGAACTGGAAGACGACGAAGAGGAAGCGTGGGAATCCGGCGGCAATGGCTGGGATGTAAGTCCAACATTGCTGGTGCCAGAGTTGCCACTGCTTGCTTATAAGGGAATCATGTGTGTTGCCTTTTTGCCTTTTCCGACGTCCTCCTCCGACTGTACTCCCGATCCCAGGACTGAACTTACGGGAAGGAGTGCTTCCAAGATGGGAGACGAAGAAGAAGAAGCCGCTGAATCCGGCGGCAATGGCTGGGATGTAAGTCCAACATTGCTGGTGCTAGAGTTGCCACTGCTTGTTTATAAGGGATTCATGTGTGTTGCCCTTTTTTGCCTTCTCCCATGTTCTCCTCCGACTGTACTGGTGAACGCTGTCACATATGTTGCCCTTTCCAGACAGTAGAAGGGAGGGGGGGGGGGGGGGCAGCACATCCTGGCATCCAGGAATGCTAGGCCCTAGGAACTAGGCAATCTGACCTTTCCTCTTACTCCAATAATGGTATGGATGGGGAGTTCTTGAACATCCTCAGTCTTGTTAGAGTGAACTGTGCAACTCGGCAATCGGTGATAGCAGAGGACCAATGCCGATGGCGATGCTCCTTCCTTTTTCTCTGTCACAGGCTGCGTTCTCGAGAGGAAGCGTTATTTCTGCATTCCAAGAAGGACGGCACAATGGTGAGTGGAACTTCGTGGGTGTGCAGCCTTGCTAGTTGAATTGTAAATCAACCATTCTTCCTGTCTCTGACTTCTTCAATGTCCTCCTCAGTGTCGGACTGTCCGCGTCGCATTGAACTGGTCCGATGAGGCTGCTATTGCACACACAGTGAGGGAACTCCCATACGGGAACTCGGAAGTACTGCTACAGTACAGGTAAGGTGGCCATTGCTTATGTGCGTGCGCCGTTGTTGTCAACTTCTAAGCCAGCTGTACTCCAACCTACATGGAGTTTGAAAGTAGTCAGCTGGCGAACTACAATTGAAGTTTAGACGTTATATGCCGCGGCTTGGTCAGCTTTTTCAGTTTCACAATGCATTGCACTCAGCACCGCTTCTCGGAATATCTTGTCAGGATAGCTGTGGAACGCATCCTCCCCAGTGGGGGAACGGCAAATATGCTGTTCATTTTTTAGGCTTGCTTTTATGGTACGTACAAATCCCCATTGAAAAGACATAGTGGAGACCAGAAACTGCAAATAGATGTTGGGAACCGCGAAGACCACCCTTCCTTGTCAAGTTCCCTGAGGGTGTGGAGGGGGGGGGGGGGGAGCGGAGGAGGGACATTCCTGCACTGCTTAAAGCAGGATTCACAGGAGAGTTCAGAAATTGCTTGTACATTTGTACCAGTTGTAACCGACAAACGCATTCTCATTGAGCTTTGACTTGAGGCACGTCAGCAAGGCGCTGTTGCATCGCTGACGTCTTGTCGTGATTCTGTGAATGGTATTTTGTGCGAGTTTGCATCGCACGCAGAATCGCAGGTCGTGTCGCATTGCGCAGCACACTGCCAAATTGCTTCTGTGAATCCCATGTGAATGGGAATTCCAATGGGAATGTAATCCATTGCCAACAGGTGTATTCCCGAGCTGCGCATCATACTGCAAAATTGCTCCTGTGCATGCAAATGGATTTCATTGCTCTTCTGTAGTTTGGGAAATTCTCGATTATGATAATCCTGCGTGTGTGTGTACACCAGCCCTGAACATACATGTAGGTGACCCATTCGTGGTGTCTCATAGCCTACCTCACGACCTTATGCTTTCTTTCTGTATCACTTGTATCTTGCAGGTATATCACCCCGTGACGACCACATCGAAGTCTGAAATTGAAGTGTGAAGATGCTTCAGCAACCCCTTCATATTTTCCATTGCTTTTATTGTGCTTCTACTGTGCATGTGTGTAACTTGTGGGGTATGCATGTGATGACAATGTATGCCGGTGACACGGTCAGATTTTGTCCAAGCGTGTAACGTACACCTGCATGCTATCGTTGAAAAGGATCTGCCACTTACGATCTTCGGACAAGTATCAAGTCAGCTTGGTTTTGTGTGGGCTGTACCAGATGCTGTTCACTTCTCTATCTGTTGGATATGTGACTTTCTGCAAGTTTCTGGTGTATGGTGGCCACTTCTTTGCTTGTCTTTGTATGACATCACAATAATTCTGTATTCACTGCTTCCATGGTGTGGTCTCCAAACTGCAATCCTTAGGCAAATATCATCACGGTTTGCAATGTTGTGCTTTGGCCGCCAGCTTACCTGCACATTGTAGTTGAATTATTTTTGTTTCACAACTGACTTCCTGAAGTATGGTGGCCACTGCTTTGAATGGCATTATACAATGTTCATCAAGAATTTCCTGTTTGGGTCGTGTGTGTGTATGTATGTGTGTGTGTGCCATGTGCATGTGCGTGTTTGTCACAAGGTGTCTGTGTGCGGGGTAGCGAGGTGGGGAGGGCTGGAATGTATCAGTGGGCTACTGCAGTTGCATGGCTACATACAGTGCATCTTGCGCGTGCTCACCATGTTTATCTTCGGAGCTAGGCTAGGGTGGGGGAGGGAACAGAAAAAGAACTGAAATTACCCATATAAAAACCGCTCTGTGAGCGGTTCTGAAAAACCTCTACTGGTGCAGCCCCGTCGTAAAAGTAAGAAATTAGAACTGGCGCATTGTCCTCCCAAATGTGAACTGATCCACCTAAATCGCGATTGACGGGACCCGAACGCACCAGTAGCACGAGGTCGGGAGGGCACAGGATTACAGCCGGCGTCGGCGCTGATCAAGTAACGTTAGTTACCATACAACACTTAGAATAACTTAGATCTACCCCGAAGCCCACCTTTGCCGCTTTGGCTATGGACCAGCGTCCCCAGCTGCATCCACAGGTATACTGGGTAGGAACCTCGTGCTACTGGTGCGTTCGGGTCCCGTCAATCGCGATTTAGGTGGATCAGTTCACATTTGGGAGGACAATGCGCCAGTTCTAATTTCTTACTTTTACGACGGGGCTGCACCAGTAGAGGTTTTTCAGAACCGCTCACAGAGCGGTTTTTATATGGGTAATCTACAGTACGCTCGTAGATCTACTCAGTCAGATCGCATCGGACTGTATTCGGACATCACTGATCTCATAACAATGAGTCATGCATACAGCATAATCGATTAATAATCATGATCAAAAAGATCTAGACAGACCGTCGAAAACGAAAAAGCTTATGTTCTCGGTGATATGAAAAAGACTTTTGAGGACTAGAGATAGAGCTTACTTGAATTCAAGCCATTCCTTCACCCTTGTAAACCTATCTTCAATGCGTGAAACGAGGAGATGGTCGTCGATATCGTTACATCCACCCAGGTGCGGCACAATTTCGAAGAGGACAGTCCCGCTGTGCGCGAGCATTGCTAGCTTTGGAAGTACCGCAGAATTTTCCAAAATGTCGGAAATCACTAACTTTATTTCCTGAGGGGAGCTAGCTGAGCTGACAACGTGGTGATTCAGAAACCGGTGACACCACAGTTGTCAGACGAGGGTCTGGCAAATGGTAAGTTGTATTAGACGGTGTGACGAGTTCTCGTACGGTGTTGCACACTCGATAAAGGCTGGCAATCTCCTGTGTATTTGGTCACTATAAAAATAATGCATCGAGAACTCAGTGGCTTGAGGGAGGATTAGAGACACACCTGAAGTTTAGAACCTGTCCCAGAGTGCTATTTTGGTGCAGTGCAATCGCTCACTGGCACAGATCTTCGGGAAAAGATCCCGTACTTTTCTCCAGTTTTGTAAGAAAGACATTTTTTGTTAGTGGATGGGCTGTCCAAGGGTAAAACCTTTAATGACCTGTCTCCCTTGAGCCAGCAGTCCATCATTTCGCTGCATGTACTATGACAGTATACTAATAATCATAATAAATCAAGGGTTGGAATCATCAGTCAGTAAGGTTTGAGTGTGAGGGGACAATAGGGACCTTTCGCATTTGCTACGAATCGAATGCGAAACGAAAGTTTGATTCGGCTCGTAATCGTTTCGTTGAAAACAGATTCAGGTTTCGCAAGTCGTCATGCAAACGTGCATGGCCACTACGAATACGGCCGGTAGCTTGGCGTACGGGTTTTTACACGCACACATGCATGGATCATGGAATCAAGGGAAAAATGTGTACCTGGCAAAACTTAAACATCACTTTGTGTACCTATCTAAATAAATGTGTACCCGACGGATTCGGAGCGCGCCACGAATGAAGAGGCCTCCACTCGTGAAAACGAGTTCTCCACAGGGACTCTGACGAATCCTCGAACCCAGGTGACGAATCAGCATTCGTTTCGTATCCGTACGCGTGGTGCGAAAGGTCCCTAATGTCCTATCTTGTCCACGGTCTTATCCCTCTTGTGCTAGAATTTTTCTTAGTTTATCGTCTGTTTGAAATGATGTCCCTGAGCCAAAGAGATTGCGTACAAAGAAGATTTGTAAGGCATTAAGGTGTCAGGACAGCATTGAGTAACAGACCCGCTGTTGCGTGCTGATGGTGCTGCAAACTAAGGAAGCTGCTGGTGCTATTGTCACTGTTTCAATTATTGCCTCTTCTTAATTTGCTGCTGCTGTTGGGTTGGTGTTGACGGAGTTGCTGGTGTTGATGTTGGCGTTAGTGGTGTTTGTATTTATGTATTCCTTATACCCAATGCTGTACTCCTTAAATAGTGTTGTTATATTATTATCAGTTCGTAAGTACACACAGGCTACACACCCAATTACACGGAAGTGAATATTGCGATGGTGGAACGTTCCTGTCATGCTGCTGCTGCTGCTGTTGATGCTGCTGCTGCTGTGGCTGCAGCTACTTCTGCTGTTGCTGCTGCTGCTGCTGCTGCTGCTGCTGCTACTACTGCTGCTGTTGCTGTGGCTGCTGCTGCTTGTGCTGTTGCTGCTGCTGCTGCTACTACTGCTGCTGTTGCTGTGGCTGCTGCTGCTTCTGCTGTTCCTGCTGCTGCTGCTGCTGATCCTCCTTCTTCTGCTTCTGCGGCTGCTGTTGTTGCTGCTTCTGCTGCTGCTGCTGCTGCTGTTGCGGTGATGATGACAATTTTGCTGGAGTTGATGCTGGGGCTACTTGCGCTGTTGCTGGCGTGGCTGTTGCTGGTGTTGGTGCTGATGAAGTTGGCACCTGTGGTGATAGTGCTGGTGTTGGTGATGGTGGTAACTTTATTGTTGAACCCACATGTTGTGATACAGAATTTGAAGAAACCTTCGAGATAAAATGTAATTCGAAGTATGGACAAATGTGCTGGTGTTGGTGGTGGTGGAGTTGTGAGTGATGGTGATGGGGTGTTGGTGAAGGTTATGGTGTCACTGATGATGTTTGCGATGTGATGGTGGTGCTGCTGGTGATAATGTTGCAGGTGAAAGGTGATGGTGATTGTGATGGTACTGGTGTTGACAATATGGCTGGTAGTGGTACTCCTAGCGGCGCTGGCGTTGCTCGTATTGAAGGTGGTGCTGGTGGCAGTTGTAGGGGACAAACTCATTCTGGTTATTTTGTCAGGGCTATCTCTAATGTTTTCTCAGCTATCCCTGCTGTTGCTGTTGCTGCTGCTGCTGCTAAAGCCTCTTGTACAGGCAAGGATAATTAAACTGCGTAATGTTCTGCTGCTGCTGCTGCTGTTCCTCCTCCGGCTGCGCCCCGCTCTCATTTCAGATAGTTTATTTAACCTTTGTTGATGGGCCTGTCTGTCTGTTCTGAATGTGTGCTTTTGCAGGCCCCAAGGCTGCCGATTTTCTCACTGTTCTTGGCATTAGTCTGTCTAGTGCATGGCAACAATGGAGCGACGCAGGCTGGAGGAGGTGAGTAGTGGAATGGTGATGTTGCTACAAAGTAGGTTAAGTCCTCTCTGTACACAAAGTGCTCAATACCCGGAACGGCAGAGCGTCCTTACAAGTAAGGCGGAACAGATTATTTACTGCAACTCAGAGTTTCACGCTTGCCCGATCGCGATCATCAGGCAAAAATATTCTGGCATGAAACGGGGGAAAAAGGTCTTGTTATATGCACAAGACAGTAAGTGAAGAGTCATTGCGCGAGGAGTACAGTGGCAAGCACGCATATGTATTGATGTGGGTGTTCAGCTTGGCCTGGACCATGGCACCGTTGTGAAGCTTTAAGTCCAAGCTGCATATAGCGTTACGAATTAATGGTAGCGACTTCAGCGTTGATTTGTTAGGAAAGGGTTTGCTCCCCACACTGGAGCTCTCGCTGTTCCGCCGGCTTGACTTGACACTTGACTGACTCACGACTGCCATCCAGAGCACACGAGAAAGTCCATCGAACCTTCGACTCGGCAACTGGCCAGAAAGCACCCCCCCCCCCCCCCCCTCCTCCCCTGCTCAATACACAGTGTTTCGGGCAATCCACCCCTCATCAGTTGAACTTGAGTAGATGCATGTAGCATCTCTTCTCTAGTCTGTGAGCTCAGTCACGAAGTTTTGCAAATATTCTGGAAAAAGCAATTACATATGCCTGGAGCAGAATTTTAGCTCTGACGTACAGTAGGTCAAGAAATATTCGGCGCACATTTATTTTCGGCTGTTTTGGGCCTGGTCACGTTTGGCCGAAAATTCCAATGTTCAGTGCGACAGTGTATACTGGCGGCACCAGTACAGGCCGAAAATTTGACGCAGCCGAAATAGGTTTTAGCCCTGTGAGGCCGAAATTTTGAATGGGCCGGAAATTTGTCGACTTCCAGTAGACACATTCTGGCGGAATGCTCGTGTTGTTGTGGTTGTTGTTGTTATGTTGTGAGATATTATGACATTCGATGAACCTCGTAGAGATGCTGCAGCCGTGTGTGCGCCGTAGACATACAGCTCAGACATCGGGTGTGTTTGCTAGTTAAGGCGTGGGTTTCTGTGTGCACTTAACGGACTGTTGCTGAACGCAATGCAGCATCAGTGGCTGCACATAGACCACTGCAGCTACACTGCATACATACATGCATACATGTATGGAGAAATTGTCACAGGGAGCAGTCAGTGGCTGAAAATGAAAAAAACCCATTCCTTTATGTTTCAAAAACGTACTTGCTAGAGGATGTCCGGCAGGCACATGACGCTAAGTTGCCTTTTTGAATGTTTCTTATCTCACCTGTTGTCCAGGCAATACAACGGCAGAGCTACCGGCCACCGCGTCTGTATCAACATCCCCGGGGGCTGAGACAAGTACAATTCCTCCGACAGCCGGTGAGACAGTCATACGTATTACTCTGGTCATTCTTGAAATCATGGTAGGTCTGATCAACTCACCTCCCACCGCTTTAGCAGCTGCACGTGCGCTTTGATCCGTAGAGGGTGGTGGCGTTCCCTCGTACGCGGACAACTCGGCCTGCAGACGAGTCTCAAGTGGATTGTGAATTTTTTTTAAATTCTAGAAAGAAAGAACCTGCAGCAGACGCAGCCATTAGCTAGGCTGACGTTATTCTGCTAAGCTCGGTTGACCATGCTTGACCCCCCACCGGCTTGCATCATTGCCATGACAATGACAATCTTGCTCAGCCATTGGTGTTTGAAGTCTCTGTGGAAAAGAGAAAAGAGGGGGGGGGGGGGGTGTTCGTTTACGGTTGTGTACTGTAGCCCTAGTTTTACAATAAAGAATCGTGTCCGTTTCCGGAGGAAACTTATGACGACGTACATGGACGTACATGGAGGCACATTCCACCTAGACCTTGCATATCAACCTGATTGGTGTGACATCATTTTGAAGTGTATGCAAGACTGTATTGAGCAAACACAGTCGTAACACGCAGCAGGTCCGGAAACAATTTTTTGGTTTCCCTCTTCTTTGCTGTTGCCTTATTGTGTTCACAAGCATTTTATGTTGAGTTCTGTAGAGTTGTTGACATTATGTCTCCCCAAACATCCTCTTGACCATGCCCAGCGCTGCTTTGTTCTCGTTGGTGTGCAAAGGAAGAAAAACAAGCATAGTGACAAACACCGGAAAATGATGTATTGCTTTCCTGTGTGATGACATTCCCCGAACTGTCTTCGTCTAGTCGCGTGCACGTGTGATATGAGCATGCGCGGTGTTGTAGGTGTGCGAGTCTGTGTCACTGACAGCATAATCATAGATCTAAAACCACACTCTGCCATAGGTATTCGTCACTGTCACCTGTGGTTGAGGTTCCTTTGTAGATATAAATCCACATTACTCGCTCTCCAATGCTCCTTTGAATGGAGTGGGAAGGGGAACAAAAGTGAGTGAAATAGGGCATTCGGACAGCTTTGTTTGCACTCTGTGTGTGGATTTCGTTTGTGTGTGTGCACGTGTGTGCCCGTGTATGCATATGGGAGTGTGTGTGTGTGCGTGTGTGTGTGTGTGTGTTTGCGTGTGTGTGTGTGTGTGTGTCTGTGTGTGTGTGTGTGTCTGTGTGTATGTGTGTGTGGTGGTGGTGTGTGTGTGCGTGCGTGCGTGCGTGTGTGTGTGTGTGTGTGTGTATGTCGCTGTGCACATGTCCCTGTGCACATCTAGATACACCCTCACCAGCTATGCTGACAGTTCGCCGCCATCCTGAGAATATGGATCTGTATAGAGTAGATGATGGGCAGCCAGTTGTATTCGCCTGTGTGTACACTGGAGCAGTGACGGGTGACGTGAAATGGACGGGCCCCAGAGTTCCAGAAACCGCGGTGACCACTGTCAAGGTACGTTACGGTGGAGCAGAAACCGTGTGCACATACCATATTACACCGGGTATATGTCCACCCTTGTTATGGGTGCACCTATGTGTATAAGTCCATCCCTGTTATGAACTCACCCTTGTTAAAGTCCACCCTTGTTATTAGTCCACCCTTGTTATTTGTCTACCCTTGTTATTTGTCCATCCTTGTTATAAGAACACCCCTGTTATAAGTACATCCTTGTTATAAGTACACCCCTGTTATAAGTACACCCTTGTTATAAGTACACCCTTGTTATAAGTACACCCCTGTTATAAGTACACCCCTGTTATAAGTACACCCTTGTTATAAGTACACCCCTGTTATAAGTACATCCTTGTTATAAGTACACCCCTGTTATAAGTACACCCTTGTTATAAGTACACCCCTGTTATAAGTACACCCCTGTTATAAGTACACCCCTGTTATAAGTACACCCCTGTTATAAGTACACCCCTGTTATAAGTACACCCCTGTTATAAGTACACCCCTGTTATAAGTACACCCCTGTTATAAGTACACCCCTGTTATAAGTACACCCTTGTTATACGTACACCCCTGTTATAAGTACACCCTGTTATAAGCACACCCATACTACTTGAGCCTCTATTCACCTGTTCAATAGCCATAAAACCCCGTTCGTATATTGACTACCCCTGTTTAATTCGGATGTAGGTCGACTTTTAACCGGGAAAATAGGATACCTATGCCTTAAGCTTTGATGAAAACAGTGGCTCGTGGTCGAATGTGTTGGCGGCGTACTGAACAAGCATGCACAGTTAGCTTTTCTGCACTATTGTAATGTACGACCGAGATAGTGTGCTTTACGTTTGTGATGGAGTGCTTCATAATTATACGGTATGCAGACTCGTGTGATGAGTTTCTACGGAAATTTGGTCTGCACAGTGCGCAGAGTACAACATCAAAAGACAGACTTGGCGCAGTCTGCCCTTTGATGTTGGAACCAATTTCCCTAATATGGCAGAGGCGTGCGAAAAATGCATGTGTAAATTAAGAATTTCAAACCCAAACCAAAAAAAACTTCAAATCAATTCTTTTATAATTAAAAATAAACTCAATCAATAAACTCAATTCAAAAGGAGAAAAACAATAACAAAAAAAAAACACTGTACTACTTCCTCCGCGTCATCGAAATTGTCGCAGTTTGACTAGTGACTTGTCACTTGTTACTGACAACTCCATAAGCTAAGCCATTCAAAACTTATTACACAGTATGATAGTCTGAAGACTAGAGTAACGATCCAGGACAGTTGGACTGAGAGTTTTCATGCAGAGATGAAGTCCTCGTCGTCCCTGATGTCAATGGACGCAAAATTATCGTTCCGAAATATTTCAAGGAAGGTTGAAAGTTGGTCGCGCCTCATCTCAAACGCTTTGACATTCTCCACAGAACAAGAGCTGCTATGCTTGTCGTCTGCTAGCTCTGGATGATTTCTACTTCACCACCAACGACGCCTAGTAAGAATACACGATCGTGGCGAGGTCAGTTGATTACCGTCGGCGGTATCGCCTCGATCTTGAAATGAACTTTTTTTAGCCGTGGCATGCCCATTTATTTTAGCTGTGTGGTCACAGCTCATGCAGGTAAGTGTACTATCACGTCCAGCGCGCCCTCTTTTTCAGCATCACTGCCCGGCCCTGATTCACTGGTATACCATGGTACGGCACCTGCGCGTGCATTACTAGCACTACGTGTAGAGTCTACACGGCTCTTGCAGGTACAATCATGTACTAGTACTGAGTGTCTCGGCCAGAGCGACAAATTTTATCGCTGTTGCATGCATTTAGTTTGCTGACCCCTCGATTTTCTCCAAGCGCTGCCACTTGTTCCACGAATTCATTCTCACCCCAGCTAAGGTAAAACAGTGATGAGGCTTGAGTGAATGGCCATAAGCACGAGAAATGCGCAGGCTGCAATGCCTGACTGATCTCACCCAGTCGCAATTACCATCTCAGCGACATCAGCGAAGAAATTGCGTCTAGTTCAAAAATTCCAGCTTCCAATAACAGAAAAAAGAACTTTGCCGTCACCCTATACTGATGACCATCGCCTATGTCCGATTCCTTGCCTCTGGTACGAGTGCGTCACCCTATACTGATGACCATCGCCTATGTCCGATTCCTTGCCTCTGGTACGAGTGCTGGTGAGTAAATACCCCGTTTTATATCAAAAGTCAAACTGCGACAATTTCGATGACGCGGAGGAAGTAATTAATAAGAACACCAATAACTTCATCAAGAAAAATCAAATTATTATAGGGTGCGACAGAGCTCTCGGCCATTGAAGAAAATGTTGAGTCACCTCCACCATTAAACTGCACTCTTTAGCCGACTAGACCCTCCTGCACACAACCATCACCATTGCGAGGACACTTCCGTAGACGATATTGATAAACTTCTTCAGACAGCTGTTTCGCTAATACATAGCTCATCAGTGAAGGTAGATGTTGAATGATTAAAAATATAGACCAAACTGCTATTATATAGGGGGTTTCCACATACAAAACTGGCATAGCTGAGGTGATAACGCGGGAAAAAAGAAAAGTGTGAAGTACTGTTGACGCGCATGGGACATGAAAAATCAAAAACAAACAAAACAAACAAAAAACTTGATAAACAAATAAACACAGTATAGAAGATCAGAAAATTACGTAACAAGGCGAGACTCAGCCACCACCACGGAACTACGTGTATCCACAAAACGTTGGACGGGGAAACCCCGACGAGAACGAGCACCACGAATACAAAGAATACTGGATCTTAGTAAGGAGAAAGAGACTCAATCTGCGGAGAAAGGAGTAAGGAGAAAGAGAGATGGGCACGCAGCAGACTCATGACAACAGAGTATTCGCTACCAGAAGACTCACATTGTAAGCGACAAAGACGTTAAAAAAAAACAGTGCACAGTGGACTACAACCACCATGAGTACCGAGAGCTATAGTCCATTCATAGAAAGATGGATTTCTAGCTTGTGGCCATATAAATGGGTCAAACTTTGAGTTTTTCAGAATTTATTTCTGCAAACCAATACGGAATCCTCTTCCAATTATGTCTCTGAAGTATATTTCTCCAAAAAGCAAGCCCTAACAAGAATGGGATTTCGGCCGGGGTTTGTCCCAAAAGCACTGAATTGGGAAAAAACTGTGAAAATCCAAGCCATTTGACTCCGCCTGCAACAGTGCATAGTGCGGTTCGAACCTTTACAAAAGGGTTAATGGTAAGACTGCTTTGGCTCAACGCGAGCGCATCTTGGGTTCTCTTAGTTCACAGGATAAAAACTGTAACTCATCATTAGACAACGGAATGAAGAACCCAATAACCAGAAGACGACACAAGGTGAAAAGCCCCAGGAAAAACGGGCTAGAAAACCATATGTCGTACATGAAGACCATGGGAACGTCGTAGGCGTGCCATGGCGCAAAAGGTAAGTAAACCACTTTAGAAGACACGATAGAAAAAAGAAAGAAGACTGTATAATCAATTGCTTGTATGCTTGTGTGTATGCTTAGTGTGAACCATTAGTTTGTGACAATACTTATTCATGCAATATCTAACAAGCATGCAATATCTGACAAGCATGCAATACTCCACAAAACCCCAGTAGAAGTAAATTTTTCGGATCCTTTTTTCAAATTTCAAAATTCGCAACACTGTACTGTGTACAATAAAATGACAAAAAATTACCAAACACGGGAGTTCACCAGAGCCAGGGCCCCTTTTTATGAATGGACTGTACTTCCGATTTTCACTGGCACGCTTCCCTTTGAAGTTTATCGATGGAACACAAATTAGGTGTAAGTGTAGAGATGGCTGCCACTATTTTGTAGGCCAATACTGATTAAACAAACGGGAATGTGCGTGTTGTGAGATGTTGTGCGGTGTGTTTCTTTGTGTTCCTGAAATCAGGCGAATGGAACTACGGTGTCTATTCTGGTGTTACCTGTTACAACACTGCAAGATGCTGGTCGTTACCAGTGCAGTGCGTCAGCCAGTGCCGATGTCAACGCTGCTACAGCAACTATCAAGTTCTACTTGATAGTCACAGGTCAGTACTGCGAGTACGTGTGCTTTCAAGTCGCTGTATTTGTGTGTACGTGTGTGTGTGTGTGTGTGTGTGTGTGTGTGTGTGTGTGTGTGTGTGTGTGTGTGTGTGTGTGCGTGTGTGTGTTTGTGTGCGCGCACGTGCGTGTGTGTGTGTGTGCGCGCGCGTGCGGGGGGGGGGCCTGCGTGAGTATGTGTGTGCGTGTATGTGTGTGTGTGCACCACAAGGTTGCCAAAGCAGATACTGTTTGCGGAGGGCACTAACACGCGGCCCCGCCATGGACCCAAGCGTCGTTGGAGAGATGTGGCAGCTTCGGACCTGCGTGCGACCGGTATCCCGGAGGCGCAATGGTACCACCTTTCTCAGGACCGGAGGGACTGGCGGGAGCGTAGCCGTCGGAAGCCACCAAGCCAGCCAAAACCAAGAGTGTCCGTCTGTGTCTGCGGCCGCGACTTTCGCCGTCCGAATGATTTATCCTGACACAAGAACTTCTGCCAAGCCTAATAGCTATCATCGCCTTCGGCGATGGGCTTTCCAAAGGTCCAAAGGTGTGCGCGCGCGTGGGGTGGGGGTGTCCGTGCGTGAGTATGTGTGTGTATGTGTGTGTATGTGTGTCCCATATGGTGCAGTGGTATGTGCAGTCGATTTCCAATCGAGAGGTTGCGGGTTCAATTCCCGACGATTATGGTGGCACACGTCTTTCTTCTCTTTCTTGGACTCTTCCTGACTTTTCTTTCATTCTCCTGGGTGGTTACCAACAGCCAGTGTATGCCGGAGTATGTGGTGTGGTGTGTGTGTGTAGAAAAAAAATGGAAAAATGAAAAATAGAGATTCACTGGCCAGAAAAAGTCACTTCAATCAGCTGTGTGGTGGATACCAGGCTAAAAATAGTGGCGGTCAATTCATCAGCCTTGCGAGCTGTTGAATGGTGTAATCCCAGCACAAGTTGCTATGTCTAACATAGATGTTCGCTATCATCGCTTCCGCGATGGGCAGGTCTGAGGTCTGAGGTATGTGTGTGCCTTTGCTAAAATTGGTGGTGGTCAATTCATCAGCCTTGCAACCTATTGAGTGGGGTAGTCCCAGCACAAGTTGCTATTTCTAACGTAGCTGCTTCCCTATCATCGCTTCCGCGATGGGCAAGAGTATGAGTACGAGTGTGCCTGTGCGTGCAGGCGTGCGCGCAGGCTTGGATGTGTGGTGGTGGGGGTGGGCGGGGGTGGGTGGGGAAGTCACTTACTGCAGTATGGTGAGCGCATTATGTGGAATCCCGTCCAAGGAGACTCAGAGGCGGGTAATTTCAAGGGGTGTCGCTGGGCGGCTCAAAACCTACTTGAGATATCTTTGCAAGATTTCTTTCGAATCTCTCTCCCCTCTCCCTGGGAGAGCCCCGTGACCAGTTTATGGCAGTGTGGACGTACGATAAAGTAGGGCTAGAGTGCCCCACCATCTTGCCCTTTCATGGCCGTGTTGTAGAGGTGCTGTCCGCTATGTAGTTCAAAAGACGCACGCAACTTGTATGACAATTGCACGGTCTGCAGTCAATCCGTTCTTGTTTACGTTATTCTTCCTCTGGTTGTAGAATCAAGGCAGGGCGCGCGTGTGTGTATCTGTGTGTGTGTGTGTGTGTGTGGGTGTGTGTGTGTGTGTGTGTGTGTGTGTGTGTGGGTGTGGGTGTGTGGGTGTGTGTGTTTGTGTGTGTGTGTGTGTGGGGGGGGGGGGCATGTCCATTTTTTGTTGACAACAAAACAGTGCATACCGTGCATATGCCCAATCCGCCCGGGCAACATTGTATAGATTACTGCTGGAAAACCTGGAAATGAAGCAGTTAATTTTGTATATTATACATGTGTGCATGTGTGTGTGCATGGTGTGTGTGTGTGTGCACGCGCACGCGTGTGCGTGCTTGTGTATCTGGATCTGTGTCTGTGTGGGCATTGTTGGGTGTGCGGTGGGGTTGCTGATTGTTTGTACCTTGTCGGAATACGTCTGTACGCGTGCAATTTGTTTCTGCTGCAGCCAAGTTGTCTTTAGCTACGGAAGTCCTCATAGGCATAGGACTAGGCAGTGGTGTGCTGCTGTTAGTCATTGCTCTACTTGTTCTCAAGTACAGGAACTCCAAATGGCGCGGTGTAATGGAGCCAACCAAATCACGCATGTCTTTCGACACGGTGGCGTATGGCCGGCGTAACCGGGATAGCACCACTACTGACCTGGATTCCTACTTTGGAGGATGGCCCTCAGTCAAGCGCAGAGCCTCGGGCGATAAGGATCTGGAGGAGGAGGTGCCTAGACCATGCAAAGCCCACAACCAATCCGTGGTGACGATTGGCAGTCAGATCCCGGATGTGATGGTGCATTTGGAATCGGAAACTGAGCTTGACGCCTGTCCCATGCCCACCTCTACTAGTATAATCAACAACACGCCGGCCGAGGGCGGTCAGTCATGGATGGCAGGTGACAATGGCAACTTCCACCTATCCGGCGTGGAGCTGCGAACAAGGATGGCCGAGTCGTCCACAGCAAGTGTTACACGCATCAGGCCGGTGACTCCAACCATTCACGAGCCCCCGGACGCGGGTCACGGTCCCGGCGATCATAAAGAGTGGGTGTGCCCAACCGGTAGCTGGGTGCAGAAGCCCATGCTTCCAAGTATGTCGATGGAATCACTTCGAACCGTCGAAGCAGAATCTGAATACTTGGAATCATCCGATATCAAGATGGCCGTAAAGATTATGACTGGCGCCGCTGTTGAAGAAACGGATTATGCGATCGTTGAGCCACGGAAAGTCCTGCCAGCCCTGAGTACAAGCAACTCAAGACCGCACTCAGCGGAACAGTCACCCACTTCACCGCTGCCCTACCCACGCAGTCTCTCCAAAAACCTACGCAGTACGGCCAATGAGGGAGTTCCGGTTGGGCGCAGTCACTCGCACCGATTCGTCACCAAGGCAGAGGGGGGTCAGCTGGCAGCAGACCTCAGACCCAGTAGAAATGCGTTGAGGCAGGGTGGTGGTTCACTGACTGCGAAAAGGTCCCTTCCATCGTTAAATGCGGACGTTCATGGTAATTCACATTGCCCTGACTCTACACACGTAACGGCGGGTAGAAACATCCCTCTGTGAAATGGTGTCGTTTTCCAGCGGAATCTATCAGTGTCGGCTTACTAATTTGGCACCACACCTTGACTGCAGTGCTGCTGCTGCTTATGTCATTGCAGTCTTTATCGAGTGGGTCAACAACGACCAGGACATGATTTCTGCACACAACTTCGTCTTGTTTCGTTTCAAAATGCCATTGCCAAGGAAATCGGTTGCAGGATCAACACTCATGGCGTGAAAGCTCATTCCCTCACTGTTGCTTTCAAACAGCCAAATCTTACAAGCTTACACGATGTCACACATTTGTTAATGCTGGCAAAATGTCATAGATCTTGTTGGTAACCAACCTCCAGAAGAGTATATTAGTAGTCCCCCCCCCCCCCCCCCTGACAAACTAAACAACGTAACCTTTCAAAGGGCCTTCTCTATTACAGGCGAATGAATACCTCTATTTTTAACTCTCTTTCTTTCTTCCATGAATTATCTCCGTCTCTCTCTTTCTCAGTACGTGTGTGTGTGTGTCTCTCTCTCTCCCTCTCTCTCTCCCTCTCTCTCTCTCTCCCTCTCTCTCTCTCTCTCTCTCTCTCTCTCTCTCTCTCTCTCTCTCTCTCTCTCTCTCTCTCTCTCTCTCTCTCTCTCTCTCCCTCTCTCTCTCTCTCTCTCTCTCTCTCTCTCTCTTTCTCTCTCTGTCTCTATCTCTGTCTCTCTCTCTCTCTCTCTCTCTCTCTCTCTCTCTCTCTCTCTCTCTCTCTCTCTCTCTCTCTCTTCCTCTCTGCCTCATATTATTGGACCATCAGCCTTGGCATCCAAACTCTATTTTATTCATGTTCTTGAACAAGCGGTGTTACGCTCTCTACTGCCTTTCATTATGATAACATTATGATAACATATTTTCAAGAAACTGCCTTAGCAACGGGTAGGTTAACTTTTTTCTCCCTGCATATACCATAATATCAATAATGTTTCATTCCCTCACACTGATGACAATATTTCATTTGATAATCATTCTAAAGTGGAGCTTGATTGTGCGCACACAGAATTGGCTGAGTTTCCAGTATGAGAATTACAAGTATTCGTTTTGAAGAAATCTTTCTTTTGGCATGTCCTTGAAAGGCATGTTGAATTAGTCCTGCCAATGCAGAAGATAGCATCATACAATGTACTTACTGAGAACGGATACATGTTTCGTGTGTGTGTCTCCGAGTCAGTCTACATGACGTGCTTGCGTGCATGTGTGCAAGGGCATATTGATGTGTATGTGTGTGTTTGTGTGTGTGTGGGTGGGTGGGTGTGTGTGCGTGCGTGCGTGTGTGTGTGTGTGTGTGCGTGCGTGCGTGCGTGCGTGCGTGCGTGTGTGTGTGTGTGTGTCCCATCTGGTGCAATGGTATGTGCAGTCGATTTCCGATCGAGAGGTTGCGGGTTCAACTCCGCTGATTATGGTTGCTCACGTCTCTCTTCTCATTCTCCTAGCTGCAATAGCTTCTTTCATTCTCCTGGGTGGTTACCGAACAACCAGTGTTGGAGTATGTGGTGTGGCTTGTTTTAAACAAAAATGCCTGAGTAAATGAAAAAAGGGATTCGCTGGCCAGAAAAGCCATCCCTTCAGCCACTTGCGTGTGTAAGTGTAAATAAATATCAATTTGGGAATGATGGATGGGGCTGGGGCCTGCTGGGGCCCTGGGGGCATACATGTGTACATGTGAGTGGGGATGTAATATTTCTTGTGGTGGGGTATGTATGCGGCATATCTGCACACGTGTATGTGTGCTTTTGGTGGGTGCAGATCTCTGCTCAGAATACACGTGATATCAATGTTGAATTGTCGATGTGGTTGCTCCCCCAGGGCATTGCTTTCATTGAGCTCAGGGAGTCGGGGGAGGGGGGGGGGGGGTGCTGGTGCTAGATAATTGCACGCGTCTTTTTTTTTAGTGTTTATTTGAATTCGGATAGCTCAACAAATAATTCCAAACAAGAGCCGATTTACTTGAAAAGGACAGAAAGCCAGACATAGACTTAAAGCGATTGATGCTCATGTTATGAGTTGTTGAGCCGCGAGTAGTTCGGGTAGACGTACAGATGGGAAAGAGGGACTGCAAGCAAACAGCCGGCTTAATACAGTAACAGTGGAAAATGAATACAAGGAACAAAAATACTGATCGATATTGGAAAGAGAAAACATTGAGGTGGTGAAGAAGTGGCGTGATATTAGCTTGGGGTGATGCGCCACAAGCAACTCGTACAGCGCGCCGGTGGAGCGAGGCTAGCTTGTTTATATTTTTAACGGATATAAACGAAAGGTATATAGGGAGAGCATATTCTAGATCAGGCTGAATAACACCGACAACGAAAGTACGGCGGGCAAACAGGTTCATCTGGCGGAAAGATCGGCGCAGTACACTAATCTTCCGTGAGGCTTTCCGGACGACATTGTATAAAATGTGTTGGTCAAAGGACAGCTTATTGTCAACAACGACATCTAGGCATCTGGTGCTTTCCACTTCCCCTAGCGTAACATTTGACAAGGTGATTTGCAGTTGTTGCCTTTGTTGTTGTTGTTGCTGACTCCCTGTGGCACGTTTGGGATGGATTTGCATGACAACGGTTTTGTCGGTATTTATCTGCATGCCAAGGGAGCCAAGGTGGTTGTTTAGTATCTCCAGTGCCGATGACAACTTGGCTTCGGAACGCGCCTTCGACGGATCACTAGAGTAGACTGTCTTGTCATCTGCGGACATCAGTAATTTTGAACCCGCTGTCTCCGCAAGCCGGGGAAGGTCCCTCAGGTAGTAAAATACTTCCCTGAGGAACTCCTCGAGACACTGCAACTCTGACTGTTCAATATCTGGTCTAGTTGTTGGACTTTAACGCATAACTATTTACTTGTGCACTACTCTTTGGAGTCTTTTCAATGTTTTCAATTTTAATTTTGGATTCATTGTCTGTGAAGAAAGGGGGGGAGGGGGGGGGCATTTTCAAGAAAACGGGGGAGGGGGAGAGGGTTTTAAACTGACAACCTCTCTATCTAGCTACTGCTCCCTCTGTACTGAATCCTGACGATTGGTGACTCACTGTCCTGAAGCGTCAACAATAATTTTAAAGACCATGACTATCTACAAAACACATTTTATATCCTGAGCAGAATTAATAGGTACTGACTGCATAGAGCGGCAGTCATTTGACTGCAGTTGTGTGATGTCTATAGTATAGATTTGTTTTTTGTCTGGGAAGTAGGAAAAATGAAGATGGGATTCTGAATTCAAAGCCCGCAGTTCGATATGCATAATTATCAACAGGGAAACATTGCACTGTAAGCATTTACCGTATTTTCCGGGGTATAAGCCGCACTTTTTTTCTCTAAAAATCGGACCAAAATCGCCCCTGCGGCTTATACACCGAATATGCTTGCGCGAATGAATGCTAAGCATACATCAGTATGCATGCTGACGTCATGTGACATGTCATTCGACTCAGCTTCGCGCCTGTGTTGCTATCCCGGCACTTTTACTAGTTTTAGTGCGCGGGCTACACCATACGGTACGCGTATACGGGGACTCTATTTTTCATAATCTGATCTAACATGATATTTAGCTCCATAACCATAATAAATTTGTAGAAAGGCCATTTGTCAATGAGGGTGAAAAATCTTGGTTTGTGGGTGCGGCTTATACTCCGAATACCAACTTTTAGTCAATATTTTGCCTCAAAAAGGGGGGTGCGGCTTATACCCCGGAAAATACGGTACTAAACGAAATAATTATAATACTAGTAGCTAGAGTTTTCACAAGTCCATTTACTCTTGATACACTCCAAAGAGTCGTATGATGGTATACTGTAAAAGTATCAGCAAGAGTACTGAGCCCCATATACTCTTCATCTAGCTTGGTATCATTTTAACCAGGTACATGTAACCATGAAGGCATGCATGCGACTACATTACATACAGCCTTATTACGGCATTATTATTATTATTAAATTTTGAATAGAGCCTTGCAGGTACATGTATCACATTTTTTCTTTCATGCAATTGTTTTCAGTATTTGAATTGTGATATAAACTTACACCATGGCAACTTGTGTTTTGTTTGCGCGGTGTAAGAAGCTCCCGGTATGTATTATTTTGGGTGGTGGGTAGGCTCCGGCGGATTATGCTCGCGAAATCATGGAATTATGCTTTCATGGATTCTCGCATTATGCTCGCGAAATCCTCATAATATGCTTTGGCACTCAGGGATACATACTCACTTTGTTGTACTTATGGAGCCTCAAAGTTCGGAAAATTGTGCCTTTTCGTACTTGCAAGTGGCCATTAGTACAACAAAATACATGAATATCCCCATACCAAGATGACCATGCATGCTAGAGATCAACATGGAAAGAGAAAACATGACTCCTTTTATTCATTCGTTGATATCTTTTGTAAAAAGATTTTTTCATTGCCAAATTAGTTGGAGTTTCAGTTACCTTTGAAAATGATCATGTTCAACTGTCTTCGTAATCGTCATGCTCGTCCAACCGATGTCACCCTCACCCTGCGAAAAATCAGCTCATCTCTCCCGTAGCTCCACCTCTCCTTCCACCATGACCGAACATCAACTATACCTCAATTTTTTTAATTGTTAGAACAATAACCATAGCTTGGTCGATGGTAGTAGTAGTAGTAGTAGTAGTAGAATTTATTATTTTGATAGGGGTCTCGATCCAGCGCGCTTCTCTGCACACCTTTTCGGAAAAGTTGCGAAGTAGTTTGTGAAAATGAAGAAAGTTGCGATTTCTTGCAAAACAACGGAAAGTTGCGAAAAAAAGTGGCCAGCATCTTTGGAAACGGGCTACTCCGAACCCTTTACCATGCGGACCACCACTCACCAGCACTGATCAGCTGCATTGTGCACAATTGTGTAGCTTACATACTGGAATTGCGGTACAAACATGTAGTTCGATTTTGACAGCATGTTGCAAGGCGAGGACGCGTAAACATGCTGTCAAAATCGAAAAACATGTTAAACTACCAAGCAAGGCTTCTGTATATACCAAACATGTAGTTATGCTCCTACCTCCGAAAGGATGCCTCACTATGCTCCAAATTTTCAACCTCCAAATTATGCCAATAATTATGCCGGCATAATCCGCCGGTGCCAACAACTGTAGTGCATATATATAATGTAGTGCACTATACTAGTGGTGGGACATTTACATTTAAAAAACAGGTTCCAGTCACGAATAAAATTAAGGGTGCCAGTTTTGGATGAATGTACCGGATTGTAGTCAGGGTTCAGGAAATAGACTCTCCTTTGCTCCTTGCTTTTCCGTGTGTACGGATCTATCCATAATTATACTGTAGCCAAAAATGGAACATCTCGGCAAATACATCAAGCTTTACTTAATAGTGTGTACATGTACGTGTGGACTCTACATATTTGTTTGTCAAGCCGCAAGCTGGACCAAGCTAACTATCCCGGCAAATCTCTGCTCAGTTTCCGAGCTTTTCTGGAACCCGGGCTATTCTGCTTCGTGGTTTCTTAGCTGTTCCTGCCTAGCGCCTCTCCTTTCCTTCTTTTCTTGCTCCATTACTGTTATTAAATTTCGAATAGGGCAATCCCACAGGCCTAGGGCCTTCTTACAGGGTACCCTATGTGAATACGAAGAGCGTGACAAACCTGCAAATCAGAGGAGCAAGAGCGAATGTCAGCTGGTACAATCACCATGCATGTACACAAAAATAGTAGCGCGCTCCCAACCTGGTTATTCCATTGGATCTCATGTGCCAATGACAAGTGTACGAAAAATATCAAGAAAACATGATTATTAGGGTTTACGTAGCGTGGGGTTATGTACTCTTCATAGTGTACTATCGGTCTTGGGACCTGCTGTGAAGCACATGCTGCTACTTGTTGATAATTCTTTCTTTCTTGGTCCCACCTCCAGCTCCCGTCAGTGTCTCTATTGCGATACTGAGAACTCTTCTGTCAATGGAGTGCTTGTAGCCTCACTAGCACCACTACAAGTACATGTATTGTTCAGTCACGTATTGAGTGTCACCGTGGCGATCGCCATTCAATCTTCATCCTTCCCCAAATCGTGCTCCCAACGTCTTTCTCTCCTTCTTTATCTCTCTCTCTCTCTGGTCTTGTCTTCCTCGCTTTTCTTGGTCGGCTTCCCTGGTGGTTAGGCGCTTTTCAAGTAATAATCATGATAATAGAGAAACAAAAACAAAGCATGATTGTCCATGGCATGTGCTTGCAATGTAGCTGGAGCCTAGCCGTAGCCTTACAGTCCATTCAGAAAAAAATGAACTTCTAGCTTTTGGCCATAAATGGGTCAAACGTTGAGTTTTTTTAGAATTTTTTTCTGCAATCCCATATGGAATCCTCTTCCAATTATGTTTCTGAAGTTTTTTTGTCCAAAAAGCAAGCCATAGCAAGAATAGGATTTCGGCCAGGTTTTGCCCCAAAAGCACTGAATTGGGAAAAACCATCAAAATCCAGGCCGTTTGACCCCGCCTGCAACAGTGCATTCTGCGGTTCGAACCCCAGTTCAGGCACCCTTTTTGGACCCTTTTTCAAATTTCAAAGTTCGCAGCACTGCACTGTGTACGATGAAATCACGAAAAATCGCCAAATACGGGAGCTCGCCAGAGCCAGGACCCATTTTTTTATGAATGGACTGTAGGCCTAGCCATACCGAGAGTACTAAACTTATAAAGCACCTTTTTGAGCACTCGAGGTTTGACCTCTACCAGGGAGTAATAAAATACCAGTATTATAATTTATACTGTACCACTGCACTGTCGTGTTTTGAATGATGACTGATGGATTCACGGCATAAAACAGCATCCACGGCATCCAGTAGGGCTCTGCGTACATATCGCAATCGAATATGGCAACTTTTCGGCTCGGAGTAACGCTACGCTCTGCTCAGGACAGTAGGCAGTCCAGAACGTACGCCCTGTACGAGCGGAATCGGTAGCCCTTTCGGCACAGTGCGCGGCTGTTTGTGGCGACCATCTCCGGCAATCTATTCACAAACGCCTCGAAGTCGAACCTTTCGACATTATGAGGTCCACGTTTGCAGAATCGTTTGTATTCCCTGGGATCCTTTTGCGGTTCCGTAAAAATAGTCTTCATTCTCTGTGACTTCAGAAATACAAACTCTTACATCCTTGCCGGCGTCCGCTGGACAACATCATCCAGTATTGTTTTGTAGGAGTCTTCAGTGAACAAATGTCTCACTAACGCTTCGTTGTTGTCTCGTTGAAAATTCCAGTCCCATAATCTATTACTATTAGTATTGTTAGCCTGAGTGAAGCGGATTCTTCGCAACCTCTTCTTAGAACTGGCATGTGACTTCAATAGCACGGCCATTTGTCGCCTAGTATTTATTCTGCGCTGGCGGAGCCGCACCCACTCGTCGCAAGATGGTAAGTTCAAAGGTTTTACCTCATTCAGTTGTATTGGCAAGCAGTCGTCGCTAGGTATACACGAGTACAGCTTGAAGAGCTCACATATCCAAATACAATATAAATTAATAATAGTGATAGAAATGGCATATGTGCAATAATGTACAATCATGTAGATGTACGTTTTCTGACAACTCAGTTGTCAGAAGTGCGTGTACATCGTTCGCCAAGTACAGTCGATTTGTTTGCGTGAAGTTAGACATAAAGGTCGAATGAAGGGCTCCATCCAAACCCCATATCAGTGAAGTATGTGTGTGTGTGTGTGTGCGCGTGTGTGTGCGTGTGTGCGTTCGTGCGTGTGTGCGCGTGCTTGCGTGTGTGTGCATGTGTATGTGTACATATGTGTGTGCATGTTTGTGTGTGTGTGTGTCCATGTGTGTGTGTGTGTGTGTTCATCAGCCTTGCAAGCTGTTGAATGGTGTAATCCCAGCACAAGTTTGCTATGTCTAACATAGCTGTTCGCTATCATCGCTTCCGCGATGGGCAGGTCTGATGTCTGAGGTGTGTGTGTGTGTGTGTGTGTGTGTGTGTGTGTGTGTGTGCTCGTGTGGGTCTGTAAGTGAGTTTTTGACCTGGGAGAGGCGGAGGGTGCAAGTCTGCAGTGTGTTGAAAGTTGAAACTTTCCGTCGCAGATTTTCTTCTAAATAGTTGCACTCGTGTGCAACTCAAAAAGCTACAGAGGGGTTCATGACCTCGTAATCTTATGCATGCTGCCCTAGATGGAAAAGGAATAAAGCAGGGCATGGCCGGACCGAATAAAACCTGCTTCCGTCGACGAGCCCGTAAATAGTGATGATGCTAGCACAAAGAACCTCCCCCCCCCCCCCCCCCCAGTAGGAGCCACCTTACAGTAGCAGCCACCTTACATTAGGAGCCACCTTACAGTAGGAGCCACCTTACAGTAGCAGTCACCTTACATTAGCAGCCACCTTACTGCAGCAGCCACCTTACTGTGGGATTATGGTGTGTTGGTGACCAGGGTGTTTTCTCCACCAGACTGAATTGCAAAGGGGGAGATCTCCCCCCCCCCCTTCCCCCAACCGTAACCCTAACTCGAAAAATGTAAAATGGTAATGACAAATTTAAGAGGGACTCCAGTGACATTTCATGCACCGCTTTTGTGGCCTGAACAGCTGGCAAATCTGGCATTGTGCTGATTAGGCGCGATTCCTAGCCGGTTCGAAATTGTGCAAATAGAGCTGGAGCAACTGGAGCTGATAAGTTCACACTAGCAAAGAAGCTATTGCCTGCAAGACAGAGCTAGGTGTATGCTTCTAGCAAAGTGTAACGGCTATGTATTAGATAATTTTCACAGTAGTTGAAACTATTCATTGTTGGATGGAACTAAAAGGAAAAGTCGGCGTCAAATTGGCGGAATAGCGCGAGCTCCAGTGCGGGGAGCAAACCCTTTCCTAATAATCATCGCCGAAGTCACACCCACTATTTCGTAAAAGGAAGAAGGCCTGAAAAATGCCCCATCACCATCGGTGCACCATGTATATGTCTTCTAAGATCTAGCCATGTTTAGGCGTTAACACCCCTCGATATTCCATTTAAGGTACAGGGTGTCATGACAAGCCGAAAGTGACAAAACAAACAGGGCTTTTCTGGCCAATGTTCAGTTGTACTTGGAGACAATGCGCTCTGGTTGTGGAGCACATGCACGCACGAATCAAGCAGACCATTTGGACAGGTTCCGCAAATAACCTCAGTTGCGCATGCTTTGTTAGGTGCAGTTTTGGAGCTCCATGTGATGCTGATTTTAGTGCTATTAGAAGGATGAAACAGAGGAGAGTGGCATGTCGCCCATCAAGAAGTTGGGACCGCTGCAAACACAAGTGCATTGATTTTGGCTTTGTGCGGGTGCGCACCATCGACTCGTGCTACTACAGCATTGCCTGAGTGCTGGCCGGGTCCTGGACACTTCTTCGAGCCACGCGGCCCTTCAAACTGTTTCTCATTTTCGCACTTTGGTGTCATGCGCGCGCCTGGGTTCTGTTCTGGTGACATCCTGTCGAGAAACGGTTCTGCTTCGCCGATTTTTTCAAACGACTCCACGCTTTTCGGAGGTTCAAAAGCCTGTCAGAACAATGGACGAAAACTCAGCCACCCTATGTAGGGGATAGATCACTGACATGTATGTCTAATGCCGACAGAAATATCATGGCAAGAACACTAAAAGTGCAACGAAGTTTTGCTTAGCGGAGGAAGTAGTGTACAAATCCGTCATGTCTGCGTCACTGATTTAACTAGGATGGAAATGAAAGCAGATGGTGGTGTGAATGTGCCAATACCTCGGTTCGAGGATTCTTTTGAGTCCCTGCGGAGAGCTCGTTTTCACAAATGGAAGCCTCTTCATTCATGTCGCGCTCCGAATCCGTCACGACACATTTTTTGCCAAGTACACATCATGTTTTGCCAGGTGCACATTTTTCCTTGATTCCATGATCCATGCCCGTGTGTGTGTGTATGTGTGTGTGTGTGTATGTGTATGTGTGTGTGTGTGTGTGTGTATGTGCATGTGTGTGTGTGTGTGTGTGTGTGTGTGTGTAAACACGGATAACATGCGTAGACGCCAAGCTACCCGCTGTATTCGTAGTTGCCATGGACATTTGCATGACGACTTGTGAAACCTGAATCTGTTTTCAACGAAACGAGGACGAGCGGAA